GAACCCTCTGTTGTGATCCTGGTCAGAGCAGTCAGTGGTGGTAGCCGGGCACCATCTAGCTGTACTGGACTCAGTCCGGTGGAGGCTTTGGTAGCTGTGGACAGTTAGTCTTTTGGACTAATCTTTTCCTTGTATCCTGTTCTCTTCGTTCTCCCTTGCACCCGAAGGGATGAGACCAATGGAGTAACTTAGCTGGCCGCTCACAGGCTTTTAAGACCCCAGACATTACTCACCAAGGTAGAATGTAGAGCATTGTCTTTATAAGCTGTGTATTCAGAGTTTTATGTGATTTAATCTTCCTATGAATCTCCATGCTATCTTTCTGAATATATAAAAATGAATGGCTCAGTATTTGTGAATGTTACACTAAGGTTTTCTGTTCTTTACCATGTTTTCTTTTTTGTGGTGGTGGGGCGGGAGTGTGGATTCTTATACCAGATGGCCAGACAGACTGCACTGTGGTGCCTGTTGCATGTATCATTTGTATGTCAATAAGCAAGTTATTTATAAGTTGGGCTCTGAGATCCTCAGCTGACGAGCTCATCTTCATTTCTGACCTTTCCCGCCAACTTCTTATTTTTACTGATTTCTGTGGGTTGGGTGGCCGTGGGGGGGGTGGGAGAAGCCACGAGGCTCTTATAGAGTGTGGTGCATGCTGAGTGGTGAGAATACTTTGCAACATGCCATTATGATTTGTTTTTATCATTTGTTTTATTTTTATACCCCTGCTTATTACACTGAATGAGACAGCTACTAGCCGGGATGATAGCAGAGCCTGCTTTTCTTTCTGAGTATACTATCTTTGCTTTGGATCCCTCCAAACAGCTTAAAACACAGACTGACAGTGTGGTGAGTCCTTCCACCGCTTTCTGCGTTCCCTTTGTGGGGAAGCAAAGTAATTTGGTAATTCTAGAAGCCAATTTCATGTTGCTTGCCATTTACCACCTCTCAAAGCGTCTTCAATGCCCTGTTGCTAACCCTGCTCTGAAACAATCGGAGAGCAAATTGCTGAATTCTGATGGCTGGTGTGCTTCCTGGTAGTTTGTTAACAGCAACAAAATAACACTGTCTTCATTAATGTAGTGAAGATTACCTTCCCTGGGTCTAAACTGTAAGTTTTCTTCATAGGGAGTGATTGCTTGTTAATTTAAAAAGGTACGCATTGCTAGAAATATCTGTTCTCCTATTGGTGGGAGGCCTGGAATGTTTTGAGATGTAACTCACATGTTTAGAGAAAAAATGCGTTGTTAACATAAATGCATAATTATACAACACTGAATAGGTAAGTAGATTCTGCTGTAACAAATAATGGCATCTTTCGGGAGAGTACCAGTTTTCTGTGTATTAAAAATCTGAAAGGAAATAATTACTTGCCTTATTATTTTTTAACTGATAGAATTTATAAAAATTTGAATCCTGTTTTATACAATTTCACCTTTAGAAGGTGGATTTTTTTCCTATTTAAAGTATCTGGTAAGATCTTAGTTTAGCAAAACTTAAACATGTTTGATTGTCCAGTGAGGATAGCTTTTGGTGTTAGAGTGGACACTGACTGAACTGAAGTTGAGGTTTTTTTAAAACCCTGAGAATTGGTTTAACTTCTTTGGTAGCGGTGATGAAATTAGAACATTTCTGTACTTGATTCATGTAGCCGATAAAGACTTGGTATGTATGCAGATGGCCAGTATTAGTCCAAAGTTAGATTTCTGTACTTGATTCATGTAGCCAGTGAAGACTTGGTATGTATGCAGATGGCCAGTATTAGTCCAAAGTTGCATTCTAAGCTCGATTTTAGAAGAGAAAGCTGCTCAGAGTGAGAGTCAGATTTCCAGTGACATCTGAAGCTTGGTCTCAGGGGAAGTGGCCTGTCTGCCTCTGGCTACAGGTAACTCATCACCATTTCCAAAACTGGCTTGGGAGGGAGTCAGGAGTCTCAGTTAGAGAGGTTACCAGTTTACTTTAAAAACGTAAAATTATATTGCTTTGTACTCCAGGTAGTAGTAGTAGAAATTTTTTTTCAAAAAGGAGAGGGCTCCTCCTAGGCCCTCTGTACTCAGTACAAAAGTAATTTGTATTGTCAAAAAAAAAAAAAACACTTTTAAGTATAAAAGTGGAGGCTTTAGAACTGTTGAAAAGTACTTCAAGTAAGTTACAATCTTCTTTAATCTTACTTAAATTGTTTTTGTTCAGATAAAAACTTACTTCTCCCCAGGGAACAAAGGGAAACCATAGCATTACCTATACCACAATAAAAGTTTAGTGAGGGTGTAATTTCATTACGAGTTTACCGGCTGCTGACTCTTTTCCTTAATTCAGTTTTTTCGAAAATGCATCTCTTTGCCCCACGTCCTAAGAATTGCCATATCCCTAGTGCTCAGCAGTTAGTAAATGGTTGTTAAAGATTGAATAAATGTAACTGAACACAAATTTGACAGGAAACTTGGATGAACTTTTAAATTAAATGTACTTTAGAAGGGTTTTCCTGCGAGCTAAGTGTTGCCTCCAGGAGGAAGTATCCGTGCAGATTGAGGCTTGACATGTATTGAGCTGGTTCCTCAGGCTTCTCCTTGGGAGAAGGCCTGAAGGTCTTCTTTACTGAAGGAAGTGACTGCCTAAGGATTTAGTAAGCATTTATTGAGCCCCTACTGCCTGCTGGGCAAAATTTTAGGTCCTGGGGATCCAGGATGAAAATGCAGGGTTCCTGCCCTCCAAGAGTTTATACGTTGGTATGGAGACAAAAATGCCAGCATACGCTTGCAATAAAAAGAAATTCAGGCTTCACAGAAGAAAATACAGAGGGAAGAAGTGTGTTAGCCTGTCAAGTAAGCCATGTGAAGCTTCACAAATGAAGCAAATGAAGGGGCGTTCGGAAGTTGAAAGATGAGCAAGAGTGTGCGAGGCAAAAATGGAGAAGGCGTTCCAGATAGTGACAGAATCTCTAATTTTACTTCTAGAAATTCCTGACTTAACGTTTACAGGATACTTTAGGCGAATACTATTTTTTAGTTGTTTGCTAATGCCTGCATTTATTTAGATATATGGAATAATATATAAATTGAAATACATACGGGACGGAAAGTTTTTTAATATGCTGTGTTTGATATGGTAATCTTTTGAACAGCTGTAGAGTAGATTTTTTTGTATGGACCACAATCACGTGTCAAATCATTTACTTAAAACAGAATATGGACTCTCTTGCCACCTTTCCCCCAATCTTAAAAAAAAAAAATCACGGAGCTCTTTCATTTCTGTTTCTGATAATTTAACTGCTGGTTACGTTTAAGTAGACTGACTGGCCAAGAGACTTGTTGATCTCCATAAAGTATATGTATTTTTAATTTTGTAATGTGTATAGTGTATTTTTAGGGCTGAAAAGCGTTAATTGTGATGCTACCCAATTGTCATGTATACAATTTCTAATACTTTAAAATGGCAGGAAACAGGAAGTTCAAAGTTAATTCCTATATTCCCCAGTCTTTCTTCCTTATGTAACTTGAAGGAATGTCTTGGATTGATAAAATTTGAGAACTTTCTTTTTTTTAGAGGAAAAGAGGGTGCTTAATTTTTTTTTAAATAGGGAAAAATTCAAACATATGACAAAAGTGGACATAGTAGTAGTAGTTGTATAAGGATCCCCCAAACCCAAATATCCATTAAAAAACCCATTGCCATCGAGTTGATTCTGACTCATAGCGACGCTATAGGACAGAGTAGAACTGCCCCATATGGTTTCCAAGGAGCAGCTGGTGGATTTGAACTGCCGACCTTTTGGTTAGCAGCCATAGCTCTTAACCGCTGCACCACCAGGGCTCCACATTACACAGTGTCAACTATTAATAACTCATGGCCAGTCTTGTTTTATCCATAAGCACCCTCTCCACACTTCCTTCACTACCCCACCTGCTACCACCCCTCATCTCTCCCCTCACCGCACCATTGCGTTATTTGAAGCAAGTATCAGAAATTGTATTTCATCTGTAAATATCTCTAAAAGATAAGATGAAAAATATATATCTGTAGTACATTTATCACACCTAAAAATCAATAATTTCTTAGTATCAAACATCCAATCAGAGTTTAAAAAATTTGAGAACACTTTTTGCAATGCTGAACGCCTTCTCTGCTTATATTTAAGAAATGACTAGGATCAGGTGTTTGTTCTTTGGTCAGTTGTAGAGGTGGGGGAAGTGCCCTATTTTAACTACCAAGTTACTGTCACATAGTGACTAGTGGAATGCTTTTGTTGAAAACGTGAAAATTATTTTACTGGGGGCTACTTTTATAGCTTTAACTAATTTTGGTTAGATACTTAGTATATTGTCAATGCGTTATAGAATTTTGAATGCCAAAGAATCTCATCCATGACCGTGGAACCTTTGGCAGTATGTCGTCCTCAGTAGAATGTTGCTTAACTTGGAGCAGTTGTCCTGCCAACAGAACATGACAAAAACCTTACACAGCGGGAAGGAGATGTTTTTAATTCAAAGTTTTTCTGAAAATTGTCCTAACAATTTCATTTAGACTTCTGGCTTCCAATGAGTAAGACTTTTCAGTTTCTTGTTACCAACACATTTTTCAGAGCGTAGCTCAAGTAATTTTGAGTATTGTATTATTGTAGGGCACAATTGATATTACTGCTTTTTCTGGATAGCTCTCTCTTTGAAAGAGTTTGCTAATTGAATCCCTGATGTTAATTTTGTCATGGGAGGAGAAACTGGGGACATTATAATGGGGAGAGGTATGTGATTAGCTTGAAATAAATTTTGCTACATACTAATCTTTGCTCTACTTAGATATATGTATATCTCACAGCGAAATGAATTTTCTCAAATACTACCATACTAGTTTTGCCTTGCATGGAAGCATTCTTATAAATGAACAATTACTAATTTTGTTTAATAGATTAATGTATCTAATAGGTTTGGTACTTTGCCTTTGTCCTTAACGGTTTTAAATTTTCACTTTTCCGTTTCTTTACAATGTCTTTTTCTTTTTCTTAGAATGCGTCTGTCCATGCCACGAAAGCTCCCGACAGTGTTAATGGAAGTGAACCAACTACTCCCCAGGTCTGTTACTAATGTTATTTAAAAAATAGTAAGTCATTTCAGAGTATTGATCAATCAGTGTTAATTATTAGTATTTGACTTTACATTGAAATAATGATGTCCAGACATTTGATCCAATAACGTTTAAGTATAGGCCTGTTGATTGTTCCTTGGAAAAAATTTTAAATGAAAGCAGTTTATTTATGTGCATCAGTCATGTAAGATTCCATTATAACTCTCTCTCTTTTTTTATTTTTTTAAATAATAGTTTATTGTGATTTTGGTCAAAGTTTACACAGCAAGATAGGTTCTCGTTTGACAGTTTTCACACAAATTCATCAATGACATTAGTTACATTTTTCATGTTGTATCAGCATTCTGTTAATCGTGCTCTGGTTGTTCCATTTTCGGTACTCTAATTTCTCTGCCCCCTTATCTTCTCAACTTTGCTTTGGATTGAGTGTTGACCTTTTGGACTCGTATAGATGGTTTTTTAGTAGAGTACCAATCCTTTGTTTTGTGTGTCACTCTGCTTTTCTGCTGAAAGGTGATCTCAGAGGATAGTTTTGGTTCAAGGTTTAAAGAGTGTCTCAAGGCAATAATCTCAAGGAGTCCTCTGGTCTCAGGTGGTCCAGGTAGTCTGGCCTTTTTTTTTAAGAATTTGACTTTTGTTCTGTATTTTCTCCCCTTCTAATCAGGATTATCTACCATGCTCCCGGTCAGATTGGTCGGTGGTAATAGCTGGGCACCATCTGGTTCTTCTGGTCTCAGGGTAGTTGAGGCTTGTGTAGGCTGTCAGCCTTGTAGACTTGTTTCTTCTCTAAGATTTTGGTTTTCTTCTTACTCTTTTGCTCCTGACAAGTAGAGGCCAGTAGTTGTATCTTAGATGGCCGCTCTCAAGTTTTTAGGACCCCAGATGCTACTCACTTCACTAGGATGCAGAGCATGAACTTTGTGAACTCTCTTATGCCAGTTGACTGAGTTGCCCCATGAGACTATGGTCCTAAGCTTTCAAATCTAGAACACCAATCTCAGAAGGTGTTTGGTTATGTCTGAGGAGTATCTGTAGTTGTGTCTTCAATGAATACATATGCCTGCCCATACCTACCTGTGTTTACTTGTACTTGTAGATACTTCTGTGTGTTCTCATGTATATGTACACCTGTACCTATACCCATCCTTATGTGATCCTAGACTCATTTTTTGGTCTTTGTTGGGAGGTGTTGCCCTCTTATATATGTCAGATTCTTCGGTGCAAGCATCCTTTTGTCATGAGCGCTTCTCAGCAGCATCATTTCCTTTGGCCATGCCATGCTCACTACACCAGTGTTTGGTGCCACTTTTCCCATCACCGAAAGTAACAAGCGTTTAAATCTAAAGCATACTTCCACCTCTACACCCTCCTCCTCCTGGTAACCACCAATGAACGTTGGTCTCTTTATATATATCTATTTTTGTCTTATAAAAGAGGGATCATACAATATTTGTCCTTATGTGCTTGACTTAATTCACTTAGCATTATGCCCTCCCGGTCCATCCACATTATAATATGTTCTGCGGACTCATTGTTGTTCTTTATGGTTGAGTAGTATTCCACTGTATGTATGTACCACATTTTGCTTATCTATTCATCCGCTGATGGGCACTTTGATTGTTTCCATTGTTGTGCTGTTGTGAATAAAGCTGCAATGAGCATAGGTATGCATATGTCTGTTTGTGTCTATAACTCATTCTTAAAATTAATGACAGTGAAGTGAAAAAAAATTTTAAATGAGCTCTGACTTTATAGTTGTAAAAGGTTATGGAGGTAGCTGTATTGCAAGACACATTTAGTTACATAATCTGGAAGGAGGATTTGAAGGAAATGGAATTTCTTTTAAAGTTTACTCTATTACAGAGTATTTAACATACAGAATTTATCCTTTTTTAAAAAAGTTATTTGGAGAGTGGAGCTCAAGTGACATTCTTTTGACCTCTTTCAAAAAAGAAAGAATTTCACTTTTAATGAATCATAATGATAGTAATATCTGAGATGGGCATTTGTTTACTTTGGTTTTAGCAATGATTATTATCAATTAACCTGAGTGTCCTCAGTAGTCTCTAATGTAGAGCGGTAATATTTCTAATTCTGTGAACCTGGGACATGAATCTAGACAGTTTGATTTATAAGCTAAATGATATATGAACTAAACGTAGACAAAAAGTATTGTCTAGCAAATGTACACATGATAGCTTCCAAAACTACATGGGCTGGTTACCTGTAGCTGAGACCCTCATAGGTTTCAGGAAGGGGTGGTCAGGTTCTGGGAAAGCCCAGATCCCTAGACTTTTTGACTCTGGTCTTGAGTAGTCTTCCTGCTTGATCTCTGTCTAGTGCTCTACAAATACATCATTTTCTGTGAGTACCATTTAACTTGTTGTTAGCTGCTATCAAGTTGGCCCCCGACTTACGGTGACCCCATGCACAACAGAACTGACTGATGTGATCCACAGGGTTTTCATTGGTTGATTTTTGGAAGTAGAACACGAGACCATTCTTCCCAGTCTGTCTTAGTCTGGAAGCTCTGCTCACACCTGTTCAGCATCATAGCAACACATAAGCTTTCACTGACAGGTGGATGGTGGCTGTGCATGAGGTGCATTGGCTAAGAATTGAACCTGGGTCTCTTGCAAGGAAGGCAAGAATTCTACCACTGAACCACCATTGCCCTCATAGACGGGAAGAAAGACCAAAGATAAGAACAAAAGGCATATTTCTTTTTATCGTGAAAATAATTTTTCCAAGAGGTTCCACCCAGTAGATTTCCATTTGAACATGACCAAACGAAGTCACATGGCCCCACTCCTAGCTGAAACAGAGTCTGGGAGAAGCTAATTAAAAATAAAAAAATTAAAATGTGACATAACATATAATATATAAACACACAGAAAAGTGATGTGTTCATTATACTGTTTTCCAAATTTTCACAAACCAAACACACCTTTGTAACCAGCACCCAAAATCAAGCAACAGAGATTACCTGCTCCCCAGAAACCCCTGTTGTCCTCCGTTCCAGCCTTTGCTCTCACCTTCCAAGGGTAACCACTGTCCCGACTTCTAACACTGTAGGTTCGTTTTGCCTGTTTTTGAGCTTTAGGTAAATAGAATCACAAGTGGGTCCTCTTGTGTCTGGCGTCTTTTCCTCAGTACTCTGTGAGATTCATCTACACTGTTGTTGTTGGTTGTAAATCATTCGTTGTCATTGCTGTCTAGTATTCCATTGAACAGATTACAATTTATTTATCTGTATTGTTGATAGGCATCAGCAGTAGTTCCCAGTTTGAGGCTATTTTGAGTAGTGCTCGATGCACTTTCTAATTTAAGTCTTTTGTTGAACATATCTACGCATTTCCATTGTGCACGTACTTGAGAGAGAAATTGCTAGGTCAGCAAGTGTGCATGTGTTTAGCTTTAGTAAACACTCACCAATAGTTTTCCAAAGTGCATTGCGCCACATCCTTACCAACACTAGGGATTGTCCATAGTTTTAATTGTAACTATTCTGGTGGGTCTGTGGTGGTGTCATATTGTGGCTTTAATTTGTATTTGGGCAGGTGAATGTTTTCATCTGGGTGTATTGTTGCCCTGAACGAACCTGGGATCTGGTGGAAAAGAAGGGAAGATTGGATATTGAATGATGGCCAGTATTTATTGAATATTTACCTTGAGCCAGGCATGGTTCTAAGTACTTCATGTGTAGTAATGAATTACTCCTCATAAGTACCCTCTGAGGTGGGTGCTGTTGTTGTCCTCGTTTTTCATATGATTAGACAGAGGCACAGAAAGGTTAGGTAACTTGCCCAAAGTCATACAGCTGGTCAGTGGTAGAGCTGAGACTTGAGTCCAGGAAGCCTGGCTTCATAGCCTGTGCTGTTACTATAAATAGCGCTTAACATCGTATAAAACATAGACCTAAACTCGTGCATGATATTCTTTAATTAGTAAATTTGTTTTTTGAGTCAGTGTCTTTTTTAGTCTCCTTTCTCTGATAATAATAATTGTTAACGTTTTTTGAATGCTTGCTTCGTTGTAAGCACTTTACATATCTTAACTCACTTGGTCCTTTTGGCAGCCTTACGAGGTGGTTATTATTATCATCATCTTCATTTTTATCATCCCCATTTTAGAGAGGAGGAAACAGGACTAGTAAGGTTAAGTAACTTGGCCAAGGTCATGTGGACCATGCTGAATCACTACACTTCCAAACAGCAGACGTGGCAGTTTATCAGCTCCTGTGAATCCATCTTTGACATCGTTCACTAGCTTCTTGCTTCCCTAAAATAATACAGCTATTTCTGGTGTTGTTCAGACTTGCTTTACTTGTTTGTCCTGGGACAGTTTGCAAGAAGATTGTCTGTTGTGAACTGAAAAAGCACTTCTCATGGATCAGAAGTAGCTGGTACTGGAGTATTCATACAGTGGTTCTTAAAGCTTCTGAGCATGGGGGTCCTGCCTCTCCCTGGAGACTTTCCCTTATCTTCCCCCCGCCTACCCTGATTATGAAGGTAAAACTAGCACGTTATGAAAAAATCAGAAAGTGCAGGAAAGTATAAAAATGAAAATAAAAATCACTGCAATCCTGCCGCTCAGACACTGTTATCTCTTGTTCGGTGTTTGTCCTTCACAGTGTAGGACTAAGGGTGTTCGTGTGAACAGGTATAAATTGAAAAGTGTGTGTAATTGCTTTAAATCATTGAGTGTATGGAACAGATCTTATATAACCTTACTATTTTTCATTTAATAGTATGTCTTGAACCTCCTTCCAGATACTGTAATTTATATAACGTGTGATTTAGTGGTGAGCATTTGGGTTGTTCCCAGTTTTTACTATTACAAACAGCTGGTGATAACGTTCTTTGTGCATTTGGGGATGGGGTGGGGCATGTTATCCCCTTTTACTTACTCCCACCTTGCCTAATACTATTATTAAATCTCTAAAATCCATGAATAAAAAGTTCTGGCTTTGATTTTTAAAATTGCGAACGAAAGAGAATCTCGTTTTCCTGTCATTTTTGCCTGCACGTGACTTCAGTCTCCTCTGAGCGTTTCATGCCTGGCATCGTTGCGACCTCACAGGTGACCCTGTTGCTGCATTAATGAGAATGAGTTTCTAGGAAACACCTGTTAAATACCGCCCGCTGTGACCTGAACAGAAGGATCCTGCTTAGAACAGTTTGTTGAATTACATTGTATTATACTTTATTGTTATTATTCAGATTATTATGCATCATTACTCAAATTAATTAACAGAAAGCTCTTGTTTATCACTATTTCTGAAACCAAGCTTACTGATCTTTGCGGAGAGACTTGTGCATAGACTTTTCTTCTGCCCTCCATTATCTGTTGTTAATGCTTAGTTTGATAGTTTGATTTCTAGTAGACACAGTGACAGATACAGCAGAGTTGGATGTCACCAGTCAACTAGTCTGTACAGATAAAGCCCGTTTGAATTCAGTCACACACGGCACACTTTATAGTATATAACATAAAAACCAAAGCCATTGCCGTCGAGCCAAGTCTTTGACTCATAGTGACCCTAGAGGACAGAGTAGAACTGCCCTGTAGGGTTTCCAAGGAGCGGCTTTTGGATTCGAACTACTGACCTTTTGGTTAGTAGCCAAGCTCTTAACCACTGCGCCACCAGGGCTCCCTCTTTATGTAGCCACATTTTTAGACACTAGTGATACAGATGGTCTCTGCCTTCAAGGATCTTACAGTTTAGTGGATGAATCCTCACAGCTCACCTGTGGGGTTGGCTGGGCAGGTATAGCTTTCTTCTGTTTTTACAGATGTGCAAACTGAAGGAAAATGACTGGGTGAAGGTTATTCTCTGCTGGGTGGCAAACCTGGGACTACACCCCAGGCCTCTGACTCCAGGCCCAGCACTTTCCCAGAAGCAATCAGCTGTCTTATTTTTCAGAAAACAATGTAGAACATCAGGAATATAAACTGAATTTGTTAAAGTTTAATAGATTATGGCTGGTGATAAGTAATAATAAGAGTCTAAATGTGTGTACTTTTAACCCACATTTTCTGTTGGCTTTTGGTTGCAGCCAGGTGATACGCAGTCTTTTGCACAGAAGCTCCAGCTCCGGGTACCCTCTATGGAGTCTTTGTTCCGAAGTCCAATAAAGGAGTCCCTATTCCGATCTTCCTCTAAAGAGTCCTTGGTACGAACGTCTTCCAGAGAGTCCCTGAATCGACTTGACCTGGACTGTTCTACTGCCACCTTTGATCCTCCCTCTGATATGGAGAGTGAGGCTGAAGACTCACTCGGGAGTTCAGACAGTCTCAGCAAAGAGCAGTTAATTCAGCGGCTGCGAAGAATGGAACGGAGTTTAAGTAGCTACAGAGGAAAATGTTCTGAGGTAAAAGCAAGACTCTTCTGCCTGTGGGAGAATGTCTTCCCTTTGTTCTCTACTTCGTATTACTCTATTGCTTTTACGTCTGTGGTTGGCTACACTGTTGATTCCTTAAATACCCTAGTTATTAATGGTAGGTAGCCTGTGGCAATATCTAGTTAGACTTTCTGTGGTATAGAGGCCCTTTGGAAAGACTCTTGGTAAAATTCTGGAGAAGGCTGTTGTCTGTAGCCTTGGGATTTTCATATTCTGGGTCCTCTTTGTTTCCTGGCCCCTCTCCCCAAGGTCACTTGGACACTCAGTGCAGAGTTTATCCTCTTTCCTACTTATATCCCATCCCTCATTCATCCCAAGGGCTGCGGCTCCAAAATGGCCTCTTTTACCGACTAGATTCCTATTATCACTGACCTTAGATAGGTTTTGGGCAGTCTGATTATCTGACAAATTTGGTTCACTCAAAAAAAACTCAAACCAAACCTGTTGCCGTCGAGTCGATTCCAACTCATAGCGACCCGATAGGACAGAGTAGAACTGCCCCATAGGATTTCCAGGGAGCATCTGGTGAATTCGAACTGCTGACCTTTTGGTTAGCAGCCAAACTCTTAACCACTATGCCATAGTACCTACATTTAAAGTTTTGCCTCAGTGACTCTTTAACTGCTAACTCCCTTGAGGCTGAGACTCCATTTGTTTTAAAGGAGGAAGGAACTAGTGCTGTGCCGTGTCTCCTTTCTATCCTTCAGTAGCAGATCACCCGCCCGTTCAGGCTGAACTGTGTAGTTGCTCTGCCTGAACCCCCTCTCCAGCCTGTGCAGTTAAAACAGTTCTTACTTAGGAGAGCCTTTCTGGAACAAGTTGCCTATGCTTTTTTTGTTTGTTTTTAAAAACAATGCCCAGTGTTTTAATGTATCTTACAGTTTGTCAGTCAGCATCATAGTTAATTAATGAATACTGAAGTTCAGGGTTATTTATAAAGTTAGTCGTACCTTATATTTCCAGTTATGGCTGGAATACGCTGGTTTTATCCTACAGCTAAAAACAACAACAATGAAAGAGCCTAGGTAAAATATATAAAATATCTTTTTAAAACTAAAATTCTGACTAGATGGGAAGGAATTACCATGCTAAAATCCATAGGCAGGCTGGAACCCGGAGATGTAATGGAGCATAAAAACCACATAAGTCATGTGGCACTTGCAGAATATGACTTTTTTTCCTTAAAAATTTTTTTAATCTATATTTTCACGAAAGTTAATACTGATATGCTTGTTTAGATTTATGTTATTTTCACTAACTTTTTAAGTTTGAAGCAGGGACAGTAGTGTTAGTATTTAAGTGTGCTACACACTGTGCATTTTATACTTACAATGCCATTTAGTTTTTCACCACTCCTGTGAAGCGGATGTTAGTTAGCTCTGTTTTGTACATGAGGGAATGAAGACTCAGGAGGTTCAAGTGACTTGCATAAGGTTACACAGGTAGCAGCTGGCAGAGTCAGGATTCGATTCTAGGACTTTGTGGTGTTTCTGCTATTCTGTGCACCTCAGGAAGAGTCAACGGCTTAATTAGGGATGAAAAGAGCCACCTTACTTTTGTCAGAAGGCCAGACGTGGCTGCCATGACCTTTGTCTTCACCTTTTCTTGCCTCTGCAGGTATACAGGATGGAATAGTGCTGTAAGTGACGTCTGGTTGTTGGGTTACTGCTCCACACTCCTCCTTTCCCCCTTTTTTGATTACCATTTTCCTGTCCGGCCTTAAGGTGATAAGAAGGAGAGGGTCCAGGTCTTAGAATTTTTTTTTTAGTGTTCTTATCTGTATTGTTGAACTCATGTTCCATTGCTGTGTGCCTCTTGGCTGAAGAATCAGTAGAGATTTTGGGGGCACACAGCAGCCATCCAAGAAACATAGCAAGGCTCAGAATAGGGGGCTGCTTCCCCTTTTAAAAGGAGCCCTGGTGGCACATTGGTTAAGCACTCGACTGCTAACCAAAAGGTCTGTGGTTCGAACCCACCAGCTGCTCCATGGGAGAAAGATTTGACAGCCTGCTTCCATAAAGATTACAGCTTTGGAAACCCTATGGGGCAGTTCTACTCTGTCCTATAGGGTCACTATGAGCTGGAATCGACTGGACAGCAATGGGTTCCCTTTTCAATCTGTATCCTGTCTCTTTGGGCTCCTCTAGTGCTTCTAAAGTAGGGTCCAAATAATTCATTGAAGCCATATGCTCAGCCTTCAGATGAGTAACGCTATATAATTTATAGATTTAACAGGATTTGTTAATCCATAATTTCATCAAGTTGTACTAGAATGTTTAAATGTCCTATTTAGGTTAAATGGTTAAACATCTCTTTGGGTTCTGAATTACGAGTTTTCACCTCTTGGTTGAGTTCCTGTCTTCAGATTTTTAAAGATCCTATAACCAGAGGAACTTTTAGAGATGGATGATATGGTCTGTTATAACCGAAAGCAAAAAATCACCTGGAGAGCTTGTTAAAACACAGATTCTCATCTCTTCCCTCCCTGCCCCCTAGTCCTGATTCAGTAAGTTTGGGGCTGGGCCCAAGAATTTCCGTTTTCAAGCTCCAGGTGATGCTGTTGCTAGTCTGCGGCTACAGTGTGAGTAACCTCCTGCCTTCAGGCAGCTTGGCTCTAACCCCACCTGTGAACTGGGCTAGTGGAATTTGAAGAGGTGTGTGTCTAAGGTGAGGCCATGTAAACAGAGATTTAGCATCTTTATTTATAGAGTCAACGTAGGTGTTATTTTTCAGAAAAGAGTTTTGTCTGTTACTTAGTTTCAGCTGCATATGCATCATCTCATTTGTTAGAATTGTCTATGAAAGGACTCTTCTTATTTACTTTTTGACTTTCATTAAGAGCTGGTTTAGAAAATTTAGAATAACTAACTATTTAGGAATGACTGAAGTTATTATTGGTGACTTTTTATTTATTTTAGCTTGTTACGGTTTGTCAGACTCTTCAGAGGGAGAAGAAAAAGCTACAAGTAAGTAATTTATTGCCTCTGATATTGATTCATATATAATTTTAAAATTAGAACGAATCTTATAGTAAAATAGCTGTAACCTGTGGATTGGACCTCAGTTGGTGATGGGTTTCCCTGACATAGGGATTCCTGCGGTGTCTGGGAGGCTTGGGTTTCAGGCACGTTTGCCTCCTTCACAGGTTTCCCAGTATCCCAGTCTGCAGGTTTCTTCCTTGTTTCGGTGGTAAAGGGTCGTCCAGCCTTATGCTTTCCCTTCTACTTTATAAATAACTGCAGGCATCTCTGTTTGTTGTCATTATATCAAGGTCCAAACCCAAGTACCCTCTCTTCTAAATAACTGTTTCCTAAGGTTGCTGCTTGTAAAGCCCTTGGTTCTGTATGTGGGGAGAGGACGCTGTGATAGCTCTTCCGGGTGACCCGTCTTGGCCCCACACATGACCTGGTGGCCAGAAATTTCCCACCAGGTCTCCTAGGCGATAAGAGCTCACACTGTGCCATCAGCTTGCTGTGTTATTTGTAAAATATAGCTTTAATTTTTAAAGTAAAAGTTATTTAGAATACTTAGCATTTTAAAGAAGCACATTACGTAACCAAAGAGTTATTTGTAAAGTGAATTTTAGTAAATGAGTTCATTTCCCCGTGTATGTTATTCTTCATTATTATTAGATGATTAATGTGCCGTAAATATCGATCTTCATTAAGTACAATGTTATATTTCCTGGCTTTGGTCTGGAGTCTAACCAGTTCACTGTGGTAATAACAGTTCTTTATTGCTGATTCAGTGTTCTAATTTTTCCATAACAAATGTGAAAATTAGGTTATTACAAATAGTTTTTTAGTTTGATAATATTTTCTCACATATGAGGTCTGTGGAGATGAGGGGGTAGTTCTCATTTAATCCATTGTCTTATTAATATTCTGTAAATTCATTCCCAAAGGGCCACGTGTTTCTAAATTTTATGGGTTACCTTGTGTGTGTTTCTATGAATTGTCTGGATTTTTATTCTAGATGTACTTAAGTAATGCTACCACTAAGAGGCGATAAAGAATTGTAGTTTCATGGTCCCAAAATATAAAGGATGTTGGAAATAAAATTCAGAGATTTACATTTATTTCTATACGTGTATACATGCTTATGTGTGCATACCTAGAAACTCCCTTATTGAATAGATATCTTTTCAGTAGATCCAATGAAATTAAAAGTGTAAGTACTGCCAACACTATTGACTGATGCTATTTGTACTCGCTAACATTTACTGGGCTCTTATCGTGCATCAGGCATTTGGGTATATTTAGTCTTTGCAGTTCTCTTGTGAGGGAGCTGAGAGTCTCCTCATTTTGTCTAGGTGAGGAAACTGAGGATGGGTTACTTGCACAGTTTGTGAGAGGGAGGGAGGAGAGCAGGATTTATTTCCTGGCAGTTTGACCCCAGAGCATGTGCTTGTAACGATTGCACTGTAATTTTTCATAGTTCTCAGCTTTGCATCTTCTTGATTTAAAAACCTGTTTTAGAAAACAAACATTGAAAACCTATATTCTTGGCTTTAGGAAAAAAAGCCTTTGTTTTTCATTTTATTTACTTATTGACCAGTTGGCCAGTTGCTGTGGAGTCAGCTTCAACTCATGGCAACCCCATGTGTGTCACAGTAGAACTGTCCTCCATAGGGTTTTCAGTGGCCGATTTTTTGGAAGTAGATCTCCAAACCTTTCTTCTGAGGCACCTTTGGGTGGACTCAAACGTCCATCTTTTTGGTTAGCAGCCAGGCATGTTAACAAATGGATAGGTAGGTGTAACTACTACCACAGTTAATGTACAGAATGGTTCTGTAACACCACGGTTTAATTTTTAACAAATTTTCAACATGGTCACATCCGTAACATATTCAGTCACATCCTCTATCCTCAGGTTATTTTTGGATAAACAGTTGTAATGTTTTAAAATAATATTTTTGATTTGACCTGCTTTGCATTACTGTGTCATTACATAGTTTGAACCAGATTTTTCTTTCTCTCTCTCTTTTTTTTAAATTAAAGGATATATTAAGTCAGAGTCAGGATAAAGCACTTCGGAGAATTGGAGAATTAAGAGAGGTAAGTTTAAGTGATACTTTGAGAATAGTAGTTAAATCTCATATTTATCAAATCTATTGTATGTGGTGGGGTAGTTTCATATGCACTTCATTAGTTTTAGTAATAATAACCTACCTAGCTGTCTTAGTTATCTAGTGCTGCTATAACAGAAATACCACAAGTGGATGACTTTAACAGAAATTTATTTTCTCACAGTTTAGGAGGCTAGAAGTCCAAATTCAGGTGCCAGCTGTAAGGGAAGACTTTCTCTCTCTGTCAGCTCTGGAGGAAGGTCCTTATCTCTTTAGATTCTGCTTCCTGGTTCCTTGGAGATCTCCATGTGTCTTGGCATCTATCTTACCCCATCTCTCCTCTGCTCATTTATTTAATCTCCTTTATATCTCAAGAGATTGACTCAAAACACACCCTACACTAATCCTGCTTTATTAGCATAATAAAGACAAGTGAGGAGAGCTATAGAGAAAGTATCGTCCTAGTGAATACATGTGTTGCCAGCAACAAAATGTTGCTAGAAATGTGGATGTTAAATGTACACCTGCTGAGGCTTTAAAAGAAAATGATGAACATTTAATTGGACAATGGAGGAAGGGCAGTGCTTCTTATGCAGTGGCAAAGAACTTGTCTGAATTATGTTCAAATGTTTGGTGGAAGGTAGAACTTGTAAGTGATGAACTTAGATAGCTAGCTGAGATTTCTCAGCAAGATCTTAAAGGAGCCACGCAGTTCTCCTTGCCACTTATAATAAAATTCTAGAGGAAAGAGATGAACTTAAAAATGAACTGTGCAAAATGAAAACAGAACTTAAAGATTTGGAAAGTTCTGTTGTACAAACTAAGGACACATGTCCGAGAATGTTCACCAAGGACTTGGCTATACAACCTTTTGTTAAAGAGATTAAGCCTGTGACTGATGGATCTAACCAGCTACCACAGCAGAAAACCCATCAGCTTAGACTGAAGGGGACAGAGAAGGAACAAAAGGAAAGAATGCTGTCTGCCTCTTGGAATTCTGTAAACAGGAAACAGGCTCAGGAGCTACATCTGTTGTCCTCCAAGAAAAGAAAGGGACTGTCCATGGAGCAGCTCGGAGATAAGCAGAACTGTTGGAAGGAGCACAGGAAGTGGGGCCTTCTTGGTTTCAAAGGGTGGGGCCACAGTCTCCTGGATCTCAAAGGGTGGGGTCACAGCCTCCTGGGTTTCAAAGAGTCGGATCATCGCCAAGTAGGTTCCGGAGTGTGGGGCTGCTGTTAAGATGTGCCAGGGGGATGGAACCACCTCCCAAAGCTGAGGGGACAGGGCTGTCATGCCCAAGAGGCAGAAGAACAGGGCCTGCTGGGGCCGAGGAGGGGGAGTCTCCACTCAGATGGACTAGGAGAATGGGACTGCCCAAAGCCTAGGGAGCAGAGTTGTCATCCCAGTGGGCCTTGAAGGCAGAGCTGAAGCCCCGGGCTGAGGTGCCTTCATCCAGAATCCAAAGGGCATAGTCAACAACCAGGGTCTGGAGGGCAAGACCATTGCCTATATGGTTTCAGAGAAGAGAGGATTATTTTCAAGCCTTGAAGCTAATGTTAATTGTTCTGCTGGGTTTTGGACTTGCTTGATGCCTGTTATCCCTTCTTTCCTTCCAGTTTTTCCCATTTGTAATAGAAGTGTCTACCTTGTGCCTGTTCCACTGTCGTACTTTGGAAACAGATAAGCTATAATCTAGATTTCACAGTTCACAGATGGAGGAATTTTGTCCCAGGATGGAATACGCCTTAAAGTCTCACCAATATTTGATTTAGATGATTCAGAAGATCAGATTTTGGACTTGGACTTGATTTAAGACTTTTGGAATGATGTGATGGGGTAAATGTGTTTTGCATATGGGGAGGACATGAATTTTGGGGGACCACAGAGTGGAATGTTATGGGTTGAATTGTGTCCCCAAGAAATATGTGTTTTAATTCCTAACTTCTATGCCTGTGGTTATAATCCCATTGGGGAATGAGCTGTCTTTGTTATGCTAATGAGGCAGGATTAGTGTAGGGTGTGTCTTGAGTTGATCCCTTGAGATATAAACCCGATTAAATAGGTGGGCAGAGGAGAGTTGGGGTAAGTTAGATGCCAAGACATGCGGAGATCTCCAAGGAACCAGGAAGCAGAATCTAAAGAGACAAAGACCTTCTTCCAGAGCTGACAGAGAGAGAAAGCCTTCCCCTAGAGCCAGCACCCTGAATGTGGACTTCTGGCCTCCTAAACTGTGAGCAAATAAATTTGTTTGTTAACGCCATCCACTTGTGATATTCCTGTTATAGCAGCACTGGATAACTAAGACACAGGATGGAGATCAATTCTTAGTTTTATTTGCACGCTGTTATACATTAGGTCGGAGCCCTGGTGGTCCAGTGGTTAAGAGCTTGGCTGCTAACCAAAAGATCAGCAGTTTGAATCCACCAGCTGCTCCTTGGAAATCCTACGGGGGAGTTCTGCTCTGTTCTATAGAGTTGCTATGAGTAGGAATCAATTCGATGGCATCAGATTTGGTTTTGGTTTGTTATATATAAGTTCACTCTGAGTCGGAGCCAGCTTGATTGCAGCTAATAGGAACAGCATTAGAGGTTAGGCATCAAGTTTTGCGGTTATTTATAACGGTATTACAGCTGGAGACACAGGAATATGTGATTTGTTTCTCTCACTGCATAGTCCTTCTCCACTGGAGATCCCTGAGGGCACTATGCTCAGGAAGATGTAGCTGAGTGGGGAACACACTCCTAGTTTATCAATAGATGGGTAAGCACCCACGTGATACTCCTCAGTGCTGGCTGTCAGTAAAAATAGGCCTCCTAGCTACCTTTTGGAAACTGGTGGCATAGTGGTTAAGAGCTACAGCCGCTAACCAAGAGGCCTGCAGTTTGAATCCACCAGGTGCTCCTTGGAAACTGTTTTGGACAGTTGTACTCTGTCCTGTAGGGTCACTGTGAGTCAGAATCAACTCAACGGCAACGGGTTTGGTGGTTTGGTTAGCTACCTTTTAGGAGCCCTGGTGGTGTAGTGATTAAGCGCTTGGCTGCTTGTCGAAAGGTCAGTGGTTCGAACCTGCCAGTGGCTCTGTGGGAGAAAGACGTGTTAGTCTGCTTCCATAAAGATTGCAGCATTGGAAACCCTATGGGGCCGTTCTACTCTGTGCTGTAGGGTTGCTATAAGTCAAAATCGACTCAACAGCAACAGGGTTGGTTTTGGTTGGTGACTACCTTTTCCCTAATCTAAATTACACAACCAGCGTTCGCAGGCATACCAGTAGAGAAGTAGAAAGGGTTAGCTTTGCTAGCAGGCCCCAGCTTGACTCTGCTCAGTTGCAGGTGTTGAATGAGTTAGAAAACTGAGGTGGAGACTCTGCCAAAAGGCATGCCCTGCTGCGATCTGTGGCAATAAGCAGGTGTGCTGACCTGTCATAACAGGCAGGGCTCTGTGACTGTTGTAGGTGCTGCCAATCAGATTCACAACCCCTCCTCCCCTTTCTGAGAGCTGGGGAGGGATTGGGTGGAAAGGCAGAGGTAAGGCAATGTAGGACTAAGGAGTATTTTTTACTCTGTAGTATAGATCTGTAATTTCATTCAGTAATTTTATCTTCTTCTCTTTGGAAATACTTGTGAGAGCCACAGGTTGACGAGTTCTAGTTGTTTTTATTATCTATGTACCTGTATTAGTTTTCTGTAACTGCTGCAACAAATTATCATAAACTTCGTGGGTTGAAGCAACACAGATTTCTTATCATACAGTTCTGTGGGTCAGAAGTCCTGCATGGATCTTACTGGACTAAAATCAAGGTATCAATAGGGCTGTGTTCCTTTCTGGAGGCTCTAGAGGAGAATCTCTTCCTTTGCCCGCTCCAGCTTCTAGGAGCTGCCCACGTTCCTTGGCACATGAGCCCTTTCCTGCATCTGCAAAGCCGCAGTGTTGCATCTCTGACCGTTCTTCCACAGTCGTTTGTCCTTCTGACACTGAACTCAACCAGGAAAATTCCTGCTGTTAAGGACAGATGTGATGAGATTGGGCCCACCTAGATAATCCAGGGCAATCTCCCCATCTCAGCACCCTTAATTTAACTACATCTGCAGTTTCCCTTTTGCCATGTGAGGTCACATGTTCACAAGTTTTGGGGACTAGGGCATGGGCATCTTTGGGGGCCGTTACTCTGCCTATCACACTGCCTCTGGTGAAGACTGTATTCAGTGAAATGACCGGGAGACAGGTAACCAAAGGAGGAGAAACGGGTCGAGAGACCACATGGTAAAGGCCTGCTTGGTGCATCTCTAAACTGCTTTGTTATAGCCCACGTATGTTTCCGAACCATAGCCCAGGTTCCAGTTACATAAAGAACAATTTATTCAGTAATTTATATTTAAATACTTAAGTAGATATGCTAGAATTCTGAATACTTTTTATTTTGTCCATGAAGAGAAGAATTCCTTCAGTTAAACAATAAAAAAAGCCAAACCAGTTGCTGTCGATTCTGACTCATGATGACCCACGTGTGTCAGAGTAGGACTGTGTTCCTCAGGGTCTTCAATGGTTGTAATCTTTTGAAGTAGATCACCAGGACTTTCTTCTGAGGCGCCTCTGGGTAAACTCAAACCTCCAACCTTCAGGTGACCATTTGCGCCACCAAGGGACTCCTAACTAAATAGTAAAACCAAAAACCAAACCCACTTCCATTGATTCACTTCCAGCTCATAGCAACCCCATAGGGTTTTCAAGGCTGTAAATCTCTGCAGAAGCAGATGGCCACATCTTTCTCCTGCGGAGCCGCTGGTGGTTTCAAACTGCCAGCCTTTTGGTTAGCAGTTGAATGCTTTAACCACTGTGCCACCAGGGGTCCTTAACTAAATAATATAACACAGAAAAACACGATTGCCCCTTAATTAAACACCCAGAGTAGTGTAAGTTATAAAATATTTTCTTTTTTAGGGTTGAAGTCTGAATAGAAGTAACCCAGAGTCCTATTTGTACTTTATTGAGTTAGACAGGTTAACATTGAGTGTAATACCTTTATTTTGCTGTATTAAGATATTCAGAAAATATTCTTTAATATCTTATTTCTTCCCACGTGACTATGCATATGTGTGTGAATAAAGTCTACGAACATCTATACTAGTGCTTCCTGGAGACAGACAAAACCAACCAACAGCTCTGCGTAGGCAAATGCTGTATCTTCTGTTAATATCTAGCATATTCAACGTCAGATACTTATCCTTAGATAAAGAAGAAAACGGCGCAGGCAAGATGATTGCCAACAGATAACATGTAATTCTCTTTGCCTGATCTTGAATCTTATAAGACGAACAGATGTTACACAGAAATTTCATACTATTAGGAAGACATTGCAAATTATGAGCTCATCTAAGTAGATAGGGTTCTGTGATTCCCTGTTAAGCCAAATAAATCAAGTCATTGTCTTAAGATATTTCTTCTTTCTCTGTCCTTCTGTCCACGCATAAACCAAAACCAAACCCATTACCGTCAAGTCAATTCTGACTCATGGTGACCCCGTGTGTTTCAGAGTAGAACTGCCCTGTAGGGTTTCCAAGGCTATAAATCTTCACGGAAGCAGACTGCCACATCTTTTTCCTGCAGAGCATCTGGTGGGTTCAAACTGCCAACCTTTTGATTAGCAGTCGAGTGCTTTAACCACTGCACCACTGGGGCTCCATCCACAGCCTGTACTTTTTCCAGGCCCACCCAGATGCAGTTCTTTATAGGCGGGTGCTGTTCTAAAGCTAGCCTCAGGGAAGCAGGAGAGTTTCCGTTTTGCAGCCTGAAATCATAGTGGATAGTGGTCATAACGGAGAATGTAGGACTGACATAAATAGTAGTAAGTGCAACAGAGTTATAGGTATTAGATACATTCCAGTCACCAGAATTTTTCTGTAAGGAAATAATTAGAAAGACCTTGCAAAAAACTGTGTGTAAAAATGCTAATCCCAGGGTTTGCAACAATTTGGAAGCAATCTAAATGTCCAGCAAGAAGAATTTTTGAATTGTTTTAATCCTAAAATATAATATTACAGAGTCATTTGTTATTATTGTGCTAAAAAAGTGCAAATAGTACAGGAGAGTATACATTGAAAGTAAGTTTCCCTCTCCTAAGAAGACCCTGCTTCTACTCCCCAGAGATAATCCTCAGCAGTCATTTCTTCTGTATTCTTTCATGAAGTTTTATTTGTACAACCATTTAAATTAATGGGGGATTGTCATGGATTGAATTGTGTCCCCCAAAAATATGTGCATCAGTTTGGCTAGACCATGATTCCCGGTGTTGTATGATTGTCCACCATTTTGTCGTCTGGTGTGGTTTTCCTATGTGTTGTAAATCCTATCTCTATGATGTTGATGAGATGGTGGGATTAGCGGTGGTTATGTTAGTGAGGCAGCACTCAGTCTACAAGATTAGGTGGTGTCTTAAGCCAATCTCTTTTGAGATGTAAAAGAGAGAAGGAGCAGAGAGATGGGGGGACCTCATACCAGCAAGAAAGAAGCACCAGGAGCATAGCGCATCCTTTGGACCTGGGGTCCCTGGGCTGAGAAGCTCCTGAACCAGGGGAAGATTGATGAGAAGGACCTTCCTCCAGAGCCAACAGAGGCTTTGGCTGGCTTCAGAGTTTGGAAGTGGTATCACATGGAAGAAGGATTAGATTTGTTCTTGGGGACCCCAAAGTTCTAATGAGTTCAAAGAAGAACTGTTTTGTTTTTTTAAACAATGAGAAGTGACTCCAGATAGTAAGGCCTAGTTCTGGAGCTAATGAGATCCCTGTCATGAAGATGTTGGGCACTTGGTCAGCCAGCCTGTGGGCTGTGGTCAGGATCTAAGTAGCCAAGTCTTAAGGTCCTTCTGTAACTGTAGTCGTTATTGTTTCTGGAGTGCTTATTGGCAGAACAGAGGTCCTTGGGTGGTGCAAACGGTTTGCTGTCAGCTGCTAACCTAAAAGTTAGTGGTTAAAATCCACCTAGCAGCACCATGGAAGAAAAGCCTGGCAACTGCTTCCATAAAGATTATAGGCAAGAAAACCCTATGGAACAGTTCTATTCTGTAGCACATGGGGTGTCCGTGAGTTGGGATTGTCACGACATGGGTATTGGCAGAATAGTGTACAGGTAGCGGGGCAGGGAGATGGGGACATGAGTAAAAGATGCTGCCATTGTATCCAAGGACTTCTTGTCTAGAGGAGATGAAAACATGCAAAACCTGGAAACCACACTGTAACTTGGGGAGCTTTTGTGGGCTGTTAGGTTTGCCGTGTAACAGAGTCCAGTATGTTATGTTGTGGAAAATTATTTAGAAGAAAGCAAAGGTCCTGTATTGTCATTAAGGAGATGTATGGCTATTCTAGGTTAAAGAATTGGCTTGGACAGAGGCATGGAATTAAATGGAGGACAGTGTTCCCAGACTTTTGGATTTCATGGACCAAAAAATTCCCTTGCAGTTGCCTTCAAAAGTAGAGCTACTGACTTTTATTTTTCAAAGTAAGCGCATCAAGAGTAAGGATGCAGATTGTTTTATTGTCATTGATGTGTGAAAGAAAGGTCATTTGAATACCAGAAGTTTTAGGAATGATGTATTCTCAGAATAAAATATAGTTGTTTAAATGAAAGAAATTTAGATCGTAGAAATCTCTGCTTTGGCCTTCTGGTTTGTGTTTCACTGTGGGCCAGTGGGAACATCACTCTGGACATGCCGTGATCTGAAAACCAGCACCTGGAGACTGCTACAGTAAGGGGATGCCAAGCCAGGAGACTTTAGTGAGAGGTGCAGTGAAGAATGTGCTTAGAAGTCATGAGGCAGCATGGGGTGTAGGGGAGAGGACAGTTAGCTCTAGACCTTCAGTTTTCTGAGAAATTAAGAAATTTGAAACAGTACAAGAAGAGAGACTTGCTGTAAGTCCCTGAAAATACTGCTTGAGGAATATTGTTCTAGCAAATGTGTGCGGGATGGATTAAAGCAGAGGAAAACTTGAGGTAAGAAATCTCTCTAGAAGGTTATTGAAGGGAATTAGTTATCTAAAATTATAGAGATCTGGTGTATGGTTACAGTTGTAGAAAAAGGACCTATCCGTTGAAGAAAACACAATAAAAGAATTTGATGATATGCAGGATTCAACAAAGATTAGTGAAATGTGACTTTGAATATTTTGAGGTTAGGCAATTAGAAAGGTAGGAATGCTGGAAAAATAGGGGGATTTTAATGGGAGATCTGACGTGTTCCAGATGTTAATCTCTCGTGTTCCTAGGAAGGAAGTGTATGTAGAAGCACAGAGGACACAGGACTGAGCTCATAGGGATAGATGCCAACAGAATCAGTGAAGGGCAGAGAGGAAACTGAGAGATGGGACTTTGTAACCAAGACCCTGAAGCTGTGGAAACCAAGCGCCTCAAGAATAAACCAAAAAACAAACCCGTTGCCGTTGAGTCAATTCCGACTCATCGTGACCCTATAGGGTAGAGGAGGTCATTATTGTCAGCCCATCTAGCAGAGAGGTAAAGATCATTGGACTTAGGAGAACTCATTAATGACCTAGAGAAAGCAGCATTTTAAGTAATTTCAGGAACTTAAAATTTTATTGTTTGGAAAACGACTAGTTCCACCTCTTCATTTTACAGATGAGGAAGCTTGTGATTTCGGCTATTAATATCTGTTTGGTTTATAACAGTTGAATTTTTGATCAAGTGAGTATAAGATAAGTAGTAAGATGTCTCAAAGTAGAATAAAGTTTTACTTTTATTAAGTGTAATTAATTTTTTTATTCGCTCCACAGTATTATCAATTCAGCAGGTATTATTACAGCTCCAGAAAATATACTTTTTCTTTGTGGGTCTTCATATTCTTTAAGCAACAAAATTATCTGTTGGTTTTTAATGTTTTAAATGCAGAATATTCTCTAATTATAGTTGCTGATACCTGAAGAGAAATGTAAATCTGGTATTGATTCATGTTCTTAAACTTTGAAATACTTAAAGTTTATGTTTTTGGTTTTAAAATTCTGTATGTTTTAGGAGCTCCAGATGGACCAGCAAGCAAAGAAACATCTCCAAGAGGAGTTTGATGCATCTTTAGAGGAGAAAGATCAATATATCAGTGTGCTCCAGACTCAGGTAAAAATAAAAAGTGTGAAATTTCTGGATAAAGAAAAATAGAAGGGTTTTGACGGGATATCTAATAGGTTCCAGATGTTATTAAAAATGGCCTATTTTTTATAACTTTTTGCTTTCCTTTAGTTAATTCTAAGAATAATTTTTCATTTATTGTATCTTTTGGCTAACTACCATATCATTCATAATAGCAACTACAAAAACCAATTGCTTAGAGAATAAAGTTTTTAAAAAATTTTCAACACTGTAGAAGAAAGGACATTTACACCACCCTCTCTCTGTTTTAGGAAGACCCCACTGCCGTAGTTTCTCATGATTTTTTCTGATGAAAAGCACATTTTCTTTAGGTTTCTCTGCTAAAACATCGATTACAAAATGGTCCGATGAACGCTGATTTACTTAAACCACTACCCCAGATGGAGCCACAGGCTGAAGGCTTCACTAAGGAAGAGAATGCAGACAGTAATGTAGAGCCAGTAGGTAAGCTTTGTCTTGTCCAAAGTCTAATTTAAAAACGAGAGGAGAATGTTGGGAGAGTCCAGGCCGTGAGCTGATGGACACGGGCTGATCAGAAAGTGTCCTGGAGCCTAATGTTTCCAGAAAGATGTTGTTGCTTTTTGTTTCTTAGTAGTTGTTATTTGGGATAGAGTCACTAAGTAACTGCTTTACAGTCTGTGAGTAGTATCACATTTTTATTGTAATTGAAATTCATTTATTATAGTACTGTTTAATTGATAACAGTAGTGAAATTTTATATAAACAGGTCACTTCCACTCAAGGATATTGAATATGCTATTTTTAATGGGATATTTTAGTTTTTAATTAATATTGCATACATATTTCTATATTTAAAGATTTCTGTATTTTCCCTAATATGTGCTTTTTAACTGGAAAAGAAAGAATATTTAAATTTTGTCTTAAAAATCAGCTATAGTCCTCTCTGTTCCTTGAGGTTTTCAGGTACATATTCAGTGAAATTCCCACTTTTGATTTCCCATCTCTTTTTGTCAAAGAGATTTCTGATGGACGTGTAGTCCAGCCAGAGTCAGTGTAAGGAGCTGAGCAGCTAGCTACCTGAGCGGCCAGCCTACCAAGGGCCCTGCAGTTCCCTGGGGAGTGAGCATGCCTCTCCTGAATGTATGGAGAAGGAGAAGCTGTACTTGGCAGAATGCCTCTCAGGAAGAGATTAGAACATTGGCCAGAAGGAATACTTCCTTAATTCTTTTGGGCTGAGACCCACAAGAGATAATTGTGAATAACAAAAGATGGTCATCAAACTGTCTTTTAAGGAGCCAGGGTTCGGGTAATGTTAGTTAACCACTGAGAGTTATGTGCCCTCTGGGATGGCGGTGAACCTCAGAAGAGGTGAGTGTCCTACCTGCTGCTTCCTCAGATATAGGCAGAACACACAGTGAGAGGGTAGGGGTTTGGAAGGGGGCCAGATTCTTAGCCAGCCAGGGTCCCCTCTTCTCTCGATGTGGCTCAGAGTATGGCAGAGTGTTGAGAGAGGACGACACTGTTGTATACTGATAGGCCAGCTGTCCCGGGGGCCCTCCTGTCCTTACTGACTGCCCCCTGCCTGTGCTGCTTTATCGTTAATAGAGGGCCATGGAGCTCCTTCTAAAATGGTGGAAACACTTCAGCGCAGAGTTAAGCGTCAAGAGAATCTACTTCAGCGTTGTAAGAAAACAATTCAGTCGCATAAAGAACAGTGCACGCTGTTAACCAATGAAAAGGAAGCGCTACAAGAACAACTAGATGAAAGGCTTCAAGAACTAGAAAAGATGAAGGTAAACACCAAATGACTTTTGTCTTTAGTCCTGTCAATCTAGATTCACAGGCTCCAGCCTGGCCTGCCCCTCCTCAGGAAAGCCTCACCCACCCTCCCTAGATGGGATGGAGAGTCCTCATCTGGGCTCAGGGTGCTCTGGGCTGCGTCTCCTCAGGAAAGCCTCACCCACCCTCCCTAGATGGGATGGAGAG